GTAAGTGTCACGCAGAAGCACTGAGCCTCAGCTGCGTGTATGCCACCACCTGAGGAGAAAAACTAACTAACTGCAGCAAAATGGAATTATTTTGGAGGAAGATGAAAAACGTCAGCCACCCTGAAGGAGGCACATAAGAAATACGCTATTTTTATCCTCATTGCTTTCTTTCCAAAGAAGGATATCCAGCACTTAATGGCATCAGACATATCATGCACCATAAAAGCTACAACTTTCCTTCAAGAAAAAGGCACCAGTTAAACTTTTGCTGCATTTAGTGGTCTTACTGCTTGGGGAGAAGCCTACTCAACCGCATACATTACCTTCCCACCATCGACCGAAATTCCTGTATGTGTAATTTCATATTCAGCTCTGCTGAAAAATGTTTTAATACCCATCAGTGCTGTATCGAAACTGGAACCAACTGGTGGAAACGAGTCTCATACACTTACAAAGCTGCTTTCAGTAAAGCACTGGCTGCGTAATCCACAAGTCACCGGTTAAAGGGGAAAATGCAATTCTTCCCAGATTGCTCTTCACAACGTACATTTTGATATCCTGCGTCTCTCCCGTTTGGTAAGGTCCCTATGTTTGCACCTGTAGACCAGGCTTTCCTTTCCGACCCGCAGCCTAACACTGTCTCTGGAGCGAACGCTCGGGATGCCCCTTCACCTCAGCCAGGACGTCCGACCCGCCCATTCGCTCTGGCAGAGTGTGAAATCCGGGTTTTTTCTCAAATGAAAGTCAGTCTCCTCCAAAAGCCTGTCCCAGGTCCATTCCGGCTGCTACGCAACATGGAGCAAGATGCTTAGAGAGAACACAGCGGGTAGGAGCTTTTCATTTTCTCCCACATCATGGTCAAGGTCACATCCTTGCTCTTCCATCAATGAAGAGATGCACATTTCCATTTTAGTTCACTGACCCGTTTATAAGCAGCACTCAAGGCAATTAAGGCCAGATCACAGGAAAAAACCCCCCACAAAAACCGACAGCAGCTGAAAGACACCAATACGAAAACAAAGCTTCCAAGAACCATTCAGTGCCCCGGCTTTCCACACACGTGCCTCCGCCCGCCCAGGGCTTCGGCTGCCTTCGAAAGCAGAGGCCGATCACTCCCACGCTGCATCACTCGGAGGATTCACCGCAGAGCGCAACCGTCAGCACCAACAGCTCCCACGCTGCCAAGTAAAGAAACGGCGAGATGGTTCTTACTAGGTCTGCTGTAAGCAAGGTTCAAGATGAAGGCAAAAACCCCAACCGTAACAGAACGGAACCGGGACCACGCAGCGCCGGGACATGGCACAAACGGCAGCCGCTCCCACCCGGGCAGGACGCACCCACGCAGGGCAGGACGCCGCAGGCTGCTTTGGCACCGGGCGCTGGGATTGCTACCGACACCCGAAAGAACTTGCGCCCCAGACGCGCTGCTTCACCGAGCCTCCGTCAAGCAGCTTCCGCTTGTCATTCGCCTTCTGCACGGCATCAGAAACAGCGACCGTCCAGACCACACGTGAAACCAGCTTAAACACCACGCACAAAGCTTGTCGCAACAGCTCCCTTCACCCTGCTAACCAGTAAAACCTGTGACTATTCTGACTGCAACCAACTGCCTTAAAAATGCTTCATATTTCCTCAGTCAAGCACAATTAACATTAGATAAAAGAAAAAGCAGGTGTGGATCAAAACCTGAAGGGTGAAACACCAATAGCTTTTTTCAAAATAGTTTTAATTCTTGCATCCAAGGAAACAAAAACACATCTAGTTTTATATGCATTTAATAGTTTACCAATTGGTACAATAAGATTTTTTTAATATGCAGAAAACATGAATAAATTTTGTTTTACACAGTCTGAGAGCAACAAATCTTACTGTAAAACACAGAGCAGTATTATATACATTCCTTTACTGATTTTTTTTTTTTTTTTTAATTGTGTCAATAGCTTCAGTTAACTCCTACAGTCTGGGAGCTGTTTTCTCCAATTGCAACCTCTAACATAGTTCTTACGAAAAAATTTGACGTTTGCCTTCCTGTCAATGTCAGGATCAGTTTCTAAAACTTGAAGATTTTGCTAACTTATCTTCAGAAGGAACTCGGAGAAGCCTGAAGGATAGGCAGGACAGGAAAGCAGCTACTTACATGACACAGTGGAAAGATAAAAAGGCCAGTTAAATCCAGTTGTGACTTGTAAATCCAGCTCAACCTTCCCCGCTCCTAACATCTTTATCCCTACCATTTTATGCATGTACTCTTGCTAGAAGACTCTTGGTATTGACTTTTTTTAAATACACTGGACTTTATGTACATCTGGACAGCAAATAACTCATTCTAAGTGCATTTTTTCCTTCACTCAACTCAGGTTTTTTTAATATTCAAATCATTAAAAGGATTATCAAGCCACCACTGTCTACAAAAACAAAGTATAATCTTTTTCTTTTAAATAGCTTTCATGCGAGTCAAAAGCTATTTAAGAGTGATATTATCAGGCAGTTCACATAAAAACAGGAGGCAAACAGGAGAAGCAGGGTACTGACAGTATAAGTAGACTGGGCTTGGTGAGGCTATAGCCAAAGCTTTCAAAATACTACAGTGCTCCACAGCCCTTGGACAACTTGCTAGCAACTAGATTTTTTTTTTTTCTTTTTAATTAGTGCCCCGGGCACATCATTGGTCACACCATACACAAAAGCAGGACGGTTTTTCTTAATTTTCTAAAGTGCAAGATGCTATAAAACATCAACTTCCAGATTATGTCTAAACCACAATAAATGTTGCACTTTTCAGAATGCATCTAAGACTTCCTGGGCACGTTACATTAGTGTGGCACTGGAATGTCTGTCTGGTTTTAAGCCAAAAAGTCTGTATTGTCTATTTGGTAACATGGTCTATATGGAGTTATTTTTTAAGCCATGCCAATTTTAGTAAGGAAAGTGACAAAGCAGCAGTGAACCTCTTGAACCCTCCAATACCTTTATTTTGTAATCCAAACCAGTAACGTCATTATTGTACTTCTCACCACAGGAAAGGCACAGGATTAGCTGACAGAAAACAAACAATGGAAAAAGTTGAACACAGTGTAATGTCACGGAGTGACACTGCAGGAAACCCTCACGAACCCAACTCCTGTGTTGCGGCTTTCACGTTTTTGTCTAAACAGGGCTTTAGCTTTTGATCCATTCAGGACCATCCCTGAGATTATTCACTGCTTGTTAAAGGAGAAGGTTGCAAATTGCATTGAAGTACTTAGAGTGTTTCACACAAGCAATTAAATGCTGCTTACATGACTTTAGTTAGTTGTTTGTCCTTGTAAATAGTTGTATGCTAAAGGGAAAAAATGCAGTAGACAACTTCCACTTAATAGGTACCTTTAATTTCTCATTCAGGTTTATGAATTATGTACATGAGTGTGGTTTACTTAAAGTTTATAGGTCCTATCAGGAATTAAAACAGATGTTTTACTTTACAGTTGCAGATGCACTGAGGAATTTTAAGATGCACTACTTGTGTGTCTGGAATTCTCGAATAGGAAAAAAAGCAGCAAAGTTTTCCAGTCCAAGCAGCTAACAAACAAAAAATACTTTATTTGTGCATGCTTAACTGCAGAAACACACACTGAAAATTACATAAACCACTGGATTTAAGAGATAAGCCTGAATCTTAAACTGGCTCCAAAACACCCCCACATCAGAACTCCGTTTCCTCCACCCCTTCCCAGAGGCAAGTCTACGCCAGGATCCCATAGGAAATCCATCTCCTCCACACAGAAGAATGGATCCTTCCACGGGTGGCTGTAGGAAAGGAACCACCACACCCCTCACCATTGCTTAGTGTGCACACCCTCCAGCTGACCCTATGTTGGTCAAGGTTTCTCATTTTTAAAAGGGACAGTTTTAAAAGCCACGTATTAAACAAAATGAATAAAATAAAGCACAAATTCACCTGTTAAAACATCAGACTGGTACTTCATTATATTGTAAATTTTCAAGTGTTTTTTAAAAAGACCTGGTTAGTTTTATAAGTATTGTAATTCTTAGTTATCTACAATGGAATTTGTCACCAAAATGCTGATTAAAATATTAATTTATAATTATTCATTCACTTCAGATCAAAATAGGTAACTTTAGGGATATGCAAATTAAAAATTGTACACACCAAACAACATAAATACTAATAGCCGAGCTGGGCTAGCTTTGCCAGTAGGATTTGGTTTTTTATAAATGTTTACTTGATAGCATCATTCCCACAGATGGACTTTGTTTTGTTGATGGTGTTTTCTTTTTCTTTTAGAGGCCTGTATCAATCTGCCTGCATCTGCCATTATAATCTGATTCTTAGGGTATTTAGTGCTTTCTTTAAAGCATTTAAATACTGTATCCCAAGATATTTCTCAATATGCAAACCACAGTACGTTTTTATTCAAGCCACATTGTCTTGTCAAGGTAAGTATAACCTCATTTTCAAAAGGGTTTCCAAGGAGGCACTGAAGAAACCTTTGTATACCCCAACCTCCTGCAAGTGAGTAAGAGGGAAGTGTACTTTGATACTGTTGTGTAATAGGAATTGCACATCTCTAACAAACATTGAAAGCAAACAGCAAGTTGTACCATGGCAGTCATTTGGGAGATCAAGCTCTAGTGGAAATTAGATCACTAAATTCTAGTGGGATGGACAACTCCTCCTGGAAGTTTGTCTACCATAAAAAAAACAAACCCCAAAACCCCCCAAAAAACCCAAAAAAACATTTAAACTTAGTTTAACAGCACAGCTTAACCACTGAATGACCAAATAAAAAATAAATACATTTATCATATCAGCTGCTACTAAGATTTGTTGTCTTATTTTAGTTAGTTATATAAATATACCAACCCTTGCGTGATAGGAGGCCAAAACAAGTGTATTCTGTTGATTTGGCAAATGTTTCATGACAAATATTCCAAAGTTTAATTAATTTCCATTAATTACATATACGGTTCAGAAGATTCTGAATTGCAGCCTTATTATCTAGTATTCTTAGAGAAGATTTATTAAGCACACTTAAGTGATGTTACATAGATACACATTTCTGAAAGAGCCCTACAAAACTTTTCCCAAATGAGGTCACCAGTTCAGGCACCAACAGACAGCAGAAAGAAAAACAGGTATAATTATCCGACATAGAACGACACTGTCAACTATTCAGTTAAGTGCCCTATTTCAATTATCCAACTTCTGCCTTCTTAGGTCTGATGTGACCAATGCCAGCCCATGTTCTTAAACCTATGGTACTCTAGACAACGTATGTAAATTTACAGTATACAATTTGGATTCACCATGCATGAATACTTTGTGTGTAACATTTAATAAGCTCAATCTACATCCAGAATAATTTACATGAAAGGACAATATTTATTTAAACAGAGCTCAATGGGTAACCATGGTATCTGAGTGCATCCAGAGGAAAAAGGGGTCAAATGTGAATTCAATCAACGGCACTCCCACACTTTTACTGTTTGATCTACACTTCCAGTAACCACATACGGTGCCGTCTTGTGGAAATCTGCGAGGAAAGAAAAGCTTATGTTAAGAATGAACCCAAAACTTCAGTACTTTCCACTGTCACTAGATGTCATTACTTTTTCAAAAAAGAAAAAAAAAAGATACTGGCTCAAAGACTAAATTTCAAAGCTCATCATGTCTGTAGTTTTGAATGTAAATTCTCTCATGCTATAAATTTGTAAAGCGTGAAAATCTACTTTCAGTTCAGTTATAAAGGAGCTTTCATGGAAAAGAAATCCCAATGAAGTTGTAACAGAGAGGAGTCCAAAACATCTCAAACTGGCAAGACCCTTGAATACTACCAGAAGACAGAACTTCATATATTTACATAAGAGGTGTTCACAAATCACAAGTCAAGAAATCTGACTTTTTCTTTTTGCTATAGACAGTACAGGCCATGCACGAGTGTTTAAAAAAATGTAAAGTGTACTGTTTCTCAGGAGATCCCAAAAATATTTCATATGTACCGATCAATTTCGGACAGGGTCAGCAGACGGTACTGGGAAGTTTAACCAAGAGAAATCCGAAAGTCTCAGTGTGTAGAAAGGCAAAGCAAGCTGTAAACTGAAGCAGCCAATTCCAAGGTTAGCCAATCCATGCTAATGATTTAATGTTCCTCAATTCATAACTTTTCTTTGCCCCCTTCTGATCAGCTGTCTTCAACAACTTAAGAGTGAAGTCAGAAACCCTGCATTTTGATTAGACCTGCAAGCTTGATTAAGAAACCTTAATAGCCAATTCCAGGTCCACTGCTAACCTAACTTAAGCAGCTTAACTTAAGCAGCTATTAAACTGCCAGAGAAATAGAGAGGGGAAAAAAAAAACAATAGAGAAGACTCCAGAGTAAGGCTAACTTTGTTGAATAGGGAACATTTCATTTGTTTTGGTTTTGCCAGGGCAGGGGGGAACAAACATCTACCAAGATCTGGTAATACCAACCAGGACTGCAAAAGAATGCAAAGTATATTTTTTTCTGGCCATTTTGCTTTGCAAAACCCCCTCCTCTTTTTTTTTTTTTCCTTCCTTCTCCTGGGCAAGCATTTGCAATACAGCACTTCCCAAATCCCTACACACTCAGTGGTGAAAGGTTCCAGAACACCCTGGCAGTTAACATCTTTATCTGATATGCAACACTGGCAACAGAAATGGAAAAAATCCAGCACACAAAATTTGTATCTGTCCATATTTGATTAACATACACGTAGCACAGAACTTCACTAGAACCCAAAATGTGAATGTCTAGCTTGACGCTCAACTTCAGCTGGTGAAAAGTGTGTATTCCTGGCTCTATACTTTGCAGTAAGCACCGCAGAACAATACATACCCAAAGAGGTAACAAAGTGTTCGTGCGCATTGAGGGTTTTCATGCATCGTTTGTTCTTGAAGTCCCAGACACGTAGAGTCTTGTCATCAGCACAGCTCAAAATAAATTTTCCCCCAGAATGGAACAGAACGCCACGTACCCAGTTATCATGGCCCACCTTGTGCACAAGGAGAAACCAGTGAGCAAGTGCATGTTTTAAGGATAAGCATTCTGCAATTTTTGCTGTGGCAAACTGAGTGACTCCTTGCCCTCCCTGTTCCTGCAAGTATTAGCACTTAGCTTTCTAAAACCTGTTAGAACTCAAAGTTTATCTTCAGCTTCTATTATTACATCTATATCAGCACTACCAACAATGTGAGTTCCTGTCCTTGAAGGCAAACAAACAGAAGTCCTCATGTGATCTGCGCTGATTCTGCTCCCCAGCCCCAGCATCAGTCCAGCCTGAATACAGGCTGGAAAACAGCAGTCCATAAAGACCCGCACACTGAAAGAACACGCCATTTTACAGAAGACAAAATTCAGATGATTATCAACATTTCTGTAGACAAACCAAGCTCATCACAAAAACTATACCACAGTACTCCTGCATTTATACTATGTATTTTGAGATTCTTAGTATTTCTTAGCAACAAGATCTGAAATATAGAAGCTGCTAAAACTGTGTGTTTCCAGTGTTTGGCTTATTTCAATAACTCTGGCTTCTCTTGAAAACATAAACATGTAAGGTAATTCGTTCCATTAAAGCTGGTTTTACCTCTGCTGCTATGACCATCAGAAAAACACCAGTGAACTTACAAGTGTCATAAGGCACATGCCAGTGCTAATGTCCCACATCTTAATGGTCTTGTCTCTGGATCCAGACAGCAGAAAAGGCCCAGGCTTGCCACTCTTCTTAGTCTACAGAAAATTATGTTTTAAGTTATGGCATATATGGGGAGGGAGGGAAGAGGGGGGGAAGGGGAGGGTGGAAGCAGATCCCTTCTGAGTGCGATTTCTTAGCAAAACTAGACCGTGTATCTTACAGCTAATAAACACACAATGCCAAAGACGAGTGTCACAGGCATTTTGTTACTAATACTAGGAGAAATAAACAAAAAAAATTAAAAGGAATTAAACAATCTGTTAAAAGAAATGGTTGGATGTCCTGCTGATGCACCAAGCCAAATAATACTTTGAATCCACACTTGCCCGCTGCAAGACATCCTCTTTTAACAGTAGACACAGTGCAAGTAGAGTCAGACATCTCAGGGAAAAAGAATATGAAGTTCAGACATACCTTTGTGTTCTCATCCTTCATAAAAAGTAATGAAGGAAGTTTAAGAATTTTTGAAAAGTTCCTACTCTGAACTTATTTCTATTTGTAATCATGCAAAGTATGAAAGAAAGACTTAGTTCTCAGAACTAGAAATGTTTCAACTGTGAAATTAATGTTAACTTGCTTCTTGTTCAAAGCCAAGTACTACAATGTGATGTATATAGTTGATCAGACCAGCAGAGGGCAGGGGAGACACCACTTCAGATAACTACCACTGCATGAGCAAGTGAACATTTGGACTCTAGTTTTAATTACTCTAATTAAAAGATTATAAGGATCTTTTAAGGATGCTACTAAAATTTGACTGAAATAATCTGTAAAATCCATCACTAGACAAGTCCCTGTCTTCAGTATATCTACTTTCCCCCTTGGGAATTTGTTTCCTTTTTAAGGAAGAGGGCAAGGCAGAAATGCTTGGGGCTTTTTTAACTAGAAATTTGAGTTAGTTTCTAGTTCATTTCTTCTATACCTTGTTATCCTTAAAAGGAAATTTTGCTGACCTTTAGTAAGCCTTTCTTGACAATTTAGTAACTGAACCAGAGAAGAGGTATCTGCGATCACACAAATGGGGATTTATTTTTGTTAAAGAATGTTTTCTCCTATCATCAACTTTGTACACGAGGACATGGCAGTCAAAGCTTAATTCCAGCACGATACACCCAAGGTGTCTTCATTTCTGCATTCCTGACTCACTACTTCCCCCCACACCTTTCAACTGCTGAGCATCCTTATAATCTTTGTGTTATGCCAGATAAGCTACCTTCCACATTTCTTTGCTGAAATATGTGGAAGTGGTCCCACTCTCAACCTTCTCAGAAATAGAGCATCTCTCCAAAGTTCACTTTCTTTAGTACAAAGGTAGGATCCTACTGTTAAAAAACACAAAAGGATGAATCCTATGAAGCCAAGATAGGGGATTAACAGTACACCAAGTATATTCAGCAAAATGTACTCATACACCTGCTGTACCTGCCAAGTACTTTGAGAACAAAGCTTAGTTGTTTTAAATACTATCCACTAAATTCTATATAAAGCATATTCAAAAATCTTACTGTATGTGCTTATTTAATAGCATTGGAAATGTTACCTCTGATCCCGTAGCTTCTGATATGGTGGAGTACGAGCTCTCGGGAGCCCAGGAAATGCATTCTACCACGTGCTCATGTTCTCGGAGCTCAGCTTTGCATTCCTTTGTCGCTACCACCCAAACACGCACTGTCTGGTCATTAGAACAACTGGCAATTAAGGTGCCATCCTGGTTAGGCCGCACCATGCGCACCCATTCTCTGTGACCCGTGAAAGTCTTCACACAGTAACTAAAGAGAGAAATACAGCATAACTCAATTAACATTGCAATAAAACCATTACACATGCCTTTGAAATTTAAGGACTCTTGACCTACTCATAGAAGTTAAGATAAAATATTTCAGCATGCACATGTCCATCCTGGATGATGATGTACAAGGCAATAAAACAGTTCATGGAAAGGAAGTTGACATGAGAAAAGTGACAGCTAAGAACTGGCAAATCCTTGTTAAGGTAGAAAGCAGGAAGCTTGTGGGGGAAAAAAAAAATGAAGTTGGCGTGACAGCTTGCATTAAGTAGGTATTTTAAGAACAAGTAGAGATTTACAGGTCATTCAGATAGCCTCCACCTACAACTCTTTGCAAATGGATGGATTAAAAAGACAACTGGTAAATTAAACAGTAAGACAAAACAACAAACAAAAACAAAAAACCCCATCCACCCAAAAAAACCCGAAAACAGAAGCAGAAGAGACACCTTGATTTGTGTCATGAAAGGTAAAAAGATTTCTCCTCCCTTTTCTCATGCTCTCCTTAAACTTGTGGTATACCACTGAATTTGTATTCCTACCTGGTCCTGAGTTATGGTGTTTTACCCTCGTAGCTCCCAGAAAGACAGAGTCAGTTTTAATTTGTCATTACTAAAACCTAAAATCCTGTGCTTAATGATTTAAGGCAAAATCCTTAAGTGAACTACTCTAAAGGGCACAATATCATACCTCAATTCAGATAATGTCTGTTGACATTCAAGACTTGTGTGGACCATTTTCTATATGGTTTATGCTTGTTTTGTTTAGGTGCTGATGTTTAGTCAGAAGTTCACTTACCCTGTTTGGACTTCCCACATTTTGATAGTTTTATCCCTTGAAGCAGAAACTATATGATCTCCATTGGGCATGATGGCTACTGAAGAAACATTATGATCATGACCTAAAAACAAAAATCAAACCTTTATTAAATGGCAGTGTAACAGTTTTTACAGAGCACACAGGACTTGCTATTCATTTCTCTTGAGCAAGTAGGTAGAGCAACAACACACGTTTTATGGAATAATCTTTACATGTAAACTTGACATTTTATGAAATAATAATTTATATTTTTAGAAACCACACAGTCCAGAAATTAAGCATCCTTTAAAATTGTTGCAAGAATTTCTTTAAGATAATTTAAAATCAGACACTCACCACTGCAAGCAACACTTCTACAGTTACAAAAGCTGAGAGTTTAGAAGAGAGAGCTGCTGCAATGATTATCTTTAAAATTATCAGTTAGGTCTGATTACAGTATGCTGATGCACTATGCAGATGTTTAAAAGGAAAACAGGTCTTTGCTGAGACGCATGCCAAACCTCACTGCAGAAGCTTCATGCTAAAAGACTGAATGTTTCCAGACATCTGATATTAGGTTTGAATAAAACACTGTACTGCATTGATTCAAGAAACAATTAATGTATGACAGCAACTTCTACTACTGTTTACATCTGAGAGGAAGACGATCAATGCTGAGTCAGAAAAAAGCATCCTGATCATTTGCTTAACGCAAACTCCTTATGACCTCATGTATGTGGTTTCAGCTCTTGCCTTCACTCATCCCACAAGCAATGGAACATACCATATGAAGGGAGATAACACACTCATTTCCAATATTACAAAATATTAGAACTTAAACTTCCCAAACTGGCTACCATTAGAATTAATGGTCTTGACATTTTAGTATTATCCAGAACAAGCTGTTGGTTAGGTTTTTTCTGAAACCAGGACACAAGTCCAGGGTACAAACTTGACTATAACGGCCTGTATATAATTCACACACTTGTATCACTTTAAGCTCTGCAATTGTCCCTACTTAAATTGTCGGGATTAGAAATTAATCTTCTGAGATCAGTAGTTTAGAGTATATGTAATTTGTCAACAGATTAGAGGCATTAAACAGCTTCCTTTTTTCATCCGGAGATCTGATGTTCTCCTTTCCAAAAAGTTATAGGCAGTAAGTTCACTAATAAGTTGATTTTTTTTCTTTTATTGGTAGCTACATTGCATCTTGCGAGCCATGTACCTAGGATATATATACACACACAACTTCACAATTTTAATTTCCATTTTTTCCACTGAGAACTAGGAGCACCTGATGAACTCCTAAAAAGCAACCACACCAGTGATCAAGTATCTGAAGCTTCAGCAAATACTTATTTCAGTGCAAGTACGGTACTTTACAACTCCTCACGGAAATGATAATTTCTTTTTGATTGAAATTGGATTGAAGGGATGTTAACTGGCAACATGTGTGAAGCTAATTCACTCACAGTCACGTTAAAACATCCAGTTCATAAAAATACTCATACTGCACGTGTTCATACAGAAATCTTTAAGACCAAAAAACCCCCTGTAGCACTACTTTATTTTCTTGCTGCATACCATGTTCCACTGCAACATCTGTTCTTCCTCTACAGTAGCATTCTGTGGTGTTCAAAAAGCTGTACGGGCAAAAGTCACCTTTCTGTTTTCTTTGGTATACATGTGTGTGTGGGGGTTTATTTTTGTGTCTCAAACATTCTCTATTCCTACTCACCACTTCTACAACAAGATATTAAAAGCAAGACAAGCAGCGGTATAAAAATGCCTTTACTTCAAGACTATAAAATAAATAGTTGCTGTCAATATTAGAATCTTACAGTTGTGGTTGTTTTACTTTTTCTCCCATTTTTTCCCTATGGCTTTTGAGTCCAATGCAAAGGACATGTTCATTTGAAATCAGACAAACATGAAAGGAGAAGGCTGCACAGTATATACAGAACACCTTTCGCACCAATTGCTTCCTTCCTGAGTCGGTACATCGGGGAAATGGAGGCGTGAAGACAGTAATTTTTTACTGATTTGAAGGCACAGTTTTCTTGTCTAGTAAGCATTTAATTTTTAGTGCTAAACCCCTCTAACTGCCATTTCATTTCAATATCATTATGGGATGCTTCCCACAGCATTATGCATAGCAGATTTGAGATGCTGTTTCATTCCACAGACACTAAACATATACCTTATTTACAGAGCACTCAAACCATCAAAATATCCTCCCTTTTTCTTTTGGGCAATACTCTGGTTTATAATCCCTTTCCACATCAGCAATTTTCCTGGATTTAACAAAAAAAAAAATTTCTCTTCACTGTACAGACTGCTAAACCAATTCCCTCTATTCCTTACCATGCATAGTTCTGATGCACTCAAAGCCCTGGAAATCCCATAGCTTAATGGTCATATCAGCAGAACAGGAGGCCAATAGTTTGCCAGTGTGGTCAAAGGAAATATCTTGCACAGAGTCTGTATGCCCCTTAAGGGTTCGTTCAAAGTCTCCTGTCTCATAATCCCACACCTGACAAGTGAACAGAAAATCCGTTAACAGCAACCTATTACTCTTTGTATTCTCCAGCCTTACATTTGCACTCTACAGGCCAGTCTGGCACCTTATTCAATAATTAATTGAGCAAGAGACAAAGACAGGCAGCCCTAAAAAGCCTAAGAGCATTGAAAAACAAGCATTATTTTTATATGATTGTTACTTATAAATGGAATTCATGCATCTTGAAAACTGTTTTTCAGCTAACTTAAAGCATTATAAACACAGCAGGAAAACAAGTTCCATTTTATCTGTAATAAATAGATAATTTACCTTATTTGGGTACCTAAGGGTACCCAATACCCTTAAAAATAAAGATCAATTTAGAAAACATTGGACAGAACAAATCCACTTTGTACAGTTTGTTTTTCTCCATCCCTTTCTATGCTAGTTCCCCAACTCCGGCAATACAGCCCATTTTGAGTTGGTGGGGAAAGGATCATCTTTAGCAATCCCCCCTCACCCTTTCCCAAGCTTTACTGTGACTCCAGAATTTACTTGCTACTTCAGAAGCAAATAGCAAATATTCTGCACGCTGAAGAGCAATATTCAGAATGCATTGGTTTACGAATGATAATCCAAACCACTCTGAAGAGTTTGATATGCACATGTTAGTAGGTTAGAGAATTTGTCAGAGATTAAACAAACGTTTGCAGTTAATAACTGCAAGATATCATGAAGTTCCCATTATCACCTCCTAATTAAGTCAGTCTTCTATCATCTAACTGCAAACAAAAGCCTTTAAAACACAAGCTCCTACAGATATTGTCTCTCTCGAGCACAAAATCAGACATTTTAAATTATTAAAAAAAAAAAAATCACAAAAACCCACAACGACCCAACAACAATAAAATCTATCATCCCAATAGATTGCCATCATTGGGGATGGAATAGTCAGAAATTAAGCTATACAGCTTCACTTCAAGAATAAGGAAATTCATCCAGTGTATCCATAAGAGGGAGCAAAACCAAAGATAATTAGGCTCCTCTAACATCTAACACACACAGAGCTGTCACTGTTTCAGCTGGCCTTGTCTGCTTGAATGAAAAAAAACACCAGTTCTCTATGTTCAAGTCTGCTGCAGAAGCAAGAACAGGTTAAAGCTTTTAATGAACAAGATCTGGCTGACACATTTTAATCTTCTCCAACAGGTAGCCACTATTAGAACAACTTACATTTTTAAGAACATTAACACACTACTCAACTTTTTTTCAGAACAGCAATTTTCCAAATCGTTTTCAAAGCAGTGTAGAAGATAGCAATGAGAAATAACCTTTATTGCAATAATTCCCTTGTGACATTCAAACAACAAAATGCACAATCATGTCTTTATTGGATGCTACAATCAGAAACTTACTTGCCTACTATAACAAATCTCTCCATGCCACTGTACATTGCAATAAAGGCCTATGAAGACCATTTAAAGTTACTGAACATCATGGGGACTTCATGGGACTTGCTTGTCCCATTTACAATAAATGGGAAGACCTAATTTTCAGTTAAGAATACAGCTGCATAACCACTTTAACCCAGCTTTAAAAATAATCACTTCAGATGACTTGAGGCAATTATCTTCCTCCACCAATCCTTTATCTGCTCCTGCAGTCTCTAAATCCACATTAGCTTAAGTACTTTTCCCTCAAGTCAAAGCATAGTAAAATACACCTGAAGATATTAACTGGACCATCACAAAAATAAAATTTGTAGATTACACAGGACATCATACTTGAAAGAACTGTCCCTACTGAAGCTAAAGCAGAACCTGAAACAATCTTCCATCAGTACAATGCACATTCAGCTTGAAGATGTCACATACTACACATCCTCTGACTTGCTCAGTTTAATTTTCTGCAGCAAACACGTACCTTTATTGTGGCATCCTCTGAAGCAGAGACCATAACACTGAAAACCGGATGGAAAATTACTCGAGTGACAGGACTCCTATGTCCACTCAACGCATACTTCTCTGGAGGACGAGGAATCCACTCTTTAGGGTCTCGCTTCTGACCAAGAGGTCCACCTGATGTAAATTCTTCCTTAGCTTCATTCAGCTTCGATTCTAATTCCATTACCTAAGTTCATGAATTTTAAAGAAACCATTCATTTCTAGTTTTATACCAAGATCTAATTCACCTTCACTCATTAATAATCCAAATACCAACTGGATCCCAAACTCACAGTAAAGCAAAGATTGCATAGATCCAGACTGATTACCAACATTCAGTAGTGTTGGTATTTCTAAAAATCAAGCATAAATTAATCATTTATGATTTATTCTTTAATAATTTAATCATCAATCACTTACTCTTCTCCAATTTACCAAATATTTTGCCAGGGAAAAACCATTCTACAAAATCACGTTCACGCAAATACTGTACAAATATGTTTGAGCCACCATTTTGACAAACTATTGAAGGAGGCTCCATTAACAAAAAGGAATGCTACTACTGCAATAATTTTTTTATCCCTGAGATGACATGCACGTTAACTAACAGCAGAGAAACTGAAGGTGTAATAAAACCCTAGATATATTAAGATTTACAACAGTTAGGTCTTTATTGTTAGCACACTGTGATTTTTTTTTTTTTAAAGCTTTTAATACACTCTACATCCACTGAAGTATTACTAAGAAGAGTTCTGTACTGTCCACTTGCAATAGAATCCCTTGCTCTAATGCACTGGAGTTAACGGTTTCTGCCCTTTAATGTAATAGCCAAAGACAATTGGTGGCACAGGGTTTTTTTACCTTCTTTCTAAGCCAGTTAAGCCTTCTGGAGACAGCTATTGAATCTTGCCACGAACAAACTGCCTTTAGGCATCTCTTTCCTTTCCCGCTTCAGAAATTGCACATGCCATCCATAAACTGAAGTCAAGTAATTTTTACACAGAAACAGAGATGTCTCTGCTAGCATGGAGACAGACAAAACATTTTCTACAACATGGAATTAGCTATTTTCCCTACTCAAGTCCTCAAAATTCATCTGAGGCATCATTTTCTAAACCCTGCATTTATCTGACAAGGGAAATATGTAACATTCTATTCAGTGATGAATCTTCGCTTTCAGTTGTAACTTTTATGCAAGTAAATCCATCAGATCTCTACTTACCTTCTTTTGCAATCTTATAACAGATGTCCATTTTTTTTCCAGAAGTCCAGCATACTTCTTATCTAACTCTTCATTCTGAGAAGCATTTAAATAAATTAGTAAATTCTAGTTCTAAAACCTGTAGAAGTCTTTCTTTAAAGGCAACATCTCATTTTAATAAAAATCTCATGACCACAGAAAGAGGAATTCAAGCAAAAAACTATGATCAGTTTTACCAGTTAAACAGAACAACCACACTTCAAATTTTAATAACTACAATTTATATGCACAGAAAAAGAGGAAAACATTTATCTTCATTACTTGAAAGCTTTTGAAGTGCTCTGCATAACTGAGAATGTTGTGTCATATTTTGTTACAGGATTTCTCCCATCCCTCTGCCCAACTCTTATAAAAAAAAAACCATACAAAACCAGATAGTAGACATTGACTGTGAGGACCAAGATACATAGAACTGGTAATTAGTTTCTCAAAGATAGCCTCCTTTTTCATAGCCACCAACTAGAGCATTAGGAACTAACGAGAGCTCACAGTTACTTGTTAGCACAATGCACTTTCTCTCTCATGGAAGCACACACTGTTTGAAAGCAGCAGCCAGCTGTCAAGAGTAGGATTACATATACTCCATCTCACTTGAAAACTAGTTAAACCCAAACTAACTGATTTAAAAACAAACAAACAAACAAACAAACCTTGATTATAGCTAACCTCAAATTACCACCATAATACTGCATTAATTTGTGCTACCTTCTCAAAAACAAAGACTCTTGTTTTTGCAAGAGTCCAACACTCCCTGCACCTTTACTCCAGCAACTGAAACAGAAAGCAGACTACTACACCTGGCCTACTGAACACCACTTCAGATACTAGAGGAATCAACACGGATTTTGCAACTCTAATGAAACTTTAATGAAGAATAGTTTTCTACCACTAAATATGTTTCTCCTTTGGGGTCTAAGGAACAGCTGAGGAGCAACAGTGAACAGCTGATGTTACTGTAAAAGCCAGAGGTTTACTCCTTTTTTTTTCCTCCCACCTATTAACACAAGAAAGAGGAAGAAAAGCCACACAGAAAAACAAACATCAGAGACACAGAAGACTAATTAAATGCTGCACGCTTTCTTTCCATGTACAAAATGACAATCTCGTACTGCAATAATTCTAAATTAGATGGAGAACAACAAAGGCATGGGGGAAATAACAATGCCATGGCTTACTCCATAAAAGCTCTGAGGATTGACTACCTCAGTCAGAGACCAGATGTTAACCTAATACTTCGGAGGCATTTGTAAAAGCTGGAGTTATCAGCAGGATTTGTAGACCTACACTTGAATCCTTCCCGTTACTGAAATAATTTCTGCCTTTAACCTTTTTTTTTTTTTTTGTCATTTTAGTATAGCCTCATCCAATTCAGATTTTCTTGCAAGAAAGTCATGTGGAAATTCTAGCAACTGCATTTTCTATTTCCCTCAGGACCATTTAGCCTATTTAGATCGCCTTTTTAACCTTTGGGAAGAGAAGACTTAATTAGGTTGATAGATAAGGCAGATAAGGGAATGGTATTAAGATTTTCAATTACAAGTATGGTATTCCAATTTGTCATTTCTACTTATTTATTAGATACCAGAAGCAGATTGGAGAAATTAAGTCAAACTTCAACCAAGCATTTTGGAAAAAGAACAATGCCAGATTTGTAATAGAGAAAAGGCAAGGATTTATCAAAAGTCAGCACACAGAAGTTTACTACTCAATCCAGGTATCTCCAGAGAAAACTAAGATGAAATGCACATCTCCTATGCTAGTAAGTGGCAAGTTTAAAAATTATACCAAGAATTATCTGTTACAAAGGCAAATCAACAGAATTAAGTTGCAAGAAATGACTGGTCTAAGTCACTAGCATCCGTACAGTTTAACAAAATAGAGTTGCTTACCAGAGCTGATCAACTTATATTAACTATTTAGGCTTGCCCTCCTACTGTATGGTTAATCAATTGGTACGCACAGTTCCAGACAACGATTTATCTACCGACCCAATTCCAATCACAAAACAGACTTCCACCATTTGCTCTGCATTATAAAGATGATGACAAAAGCAACCCTGTTTTGTCTTCCTATTTCTTAAAAACTACTATGTGAAGTCAGCCTCCAAAGCTGCACAGTCTTACATCATTTCAAATCTAGTTACAAGAGAATAGTCTTCAGTTTTCTAATTTTGCATTGCAGAATGTTTGTGCTTTTATGCAGAATTCTGAGGTAAGAATAAGCACAGTCAAGGAAATGAGTTGGGGGGTGGGGTGGGATGGACACAACAGCAGGAAACAGAGATTACATGTGTTAAAATTAAACACATTCTTCTGAATATTAAGCACAGAATAGTTCAGGTTGGAAAGAACCTCTTGAGACCATTAAGTCCAAAACGCCCTGCTCAAAGCAACGTCATCTTGGAGCAGACTGCCCAGGACTGCATCCAGTGAGGTTCTGAATATCTCTAGGAACAGAGACTCCACAACCTCTCTGGGCATCCTATTCCAGTGTTCAGTCACTCACAGTAAGTTCTATATTATATTCAGACGGAATTTCCTGTGTTTCAATTTCTACCCACTGGCTCTTGTCCTGTCATCAGCACTGAGAAGAGTCTAGCTCTGTCGTCTTCAAACCCTCCCATCAGATATTTATAAACATCTACAAGATCCCCCTAAGCCTCCTCTTCTCCAGGCTAAACAGCGCCAGCTCTCTCAGCCTCTCCCCATATGAGAGATGCTCTAGTCCTCTATGAGTTTCTACAGTGAGTCCCATGAAGGGCTTTTTTTTTTTATACCATCTTCTGTCACCTTTCTTATACATTCACATTGCCTTTTGTTAGCTTTGTTTCCTAGCACCTCTCATCTTGAAGTATCTAGGCCCTCTCAGGACTTGGACCCTTAAAAGGCCATTACAGGAAAAACTAGACTATAGTAGTAGCTAGACAAAAAATGAGGAGATTAAAAATATGCCTGAATCATTAGCTGAAGAGAAAGGTAAGAGTTTTGCTCAGAAAGCGCCAAGTAATGCAATGATTATTTTTAATTTTACAGCAAGGCAATAAGCTGTATGAGTTTATCACCTCCACTGCTGAAACTGCATGAGCTAATAGGTAGATAATAGATATACATGTTCAGAATGGATGCAATTGCCATAAAATTATGAACTCTTTACTTAAAATATAGATGATGAATCTTGTTCGAACTCACCACATCTAACTCAGCTTCCTTTTTAAAAACCGAATATGCCTCTTCATAGCCATTAGATCGAAGGTAATCTGCTATTGCTCGATTTCTAAAAAACAAAGAACAGTATCTTCAGCCACAATTATGAATAAAAGCATAGAGGAATTGGTTCAGACTTTTTTTTATTTAAAAAAACCACACTCAACATCTAAGTCTTCAATGCAGTACAACACCTAGGATTATTAGATTCGTTAGAAGCTCAAGCAAATTCTATAAATACATTTGGCAAACATATTTTGCTTCAAGGTGTCAATAGCAGGATACACTTTTTATTTTAGGTTTGGTGAAGAGGTTTTGTGTTTTTTTTTTTTCCTTTTAAGTTATCAAACATTGGAGTTGCATGAATACATTCATCAACCTGTATCATACATAAAACCCACAGCAGATGCAAAAGCAACAACCACATCTACATATTGAAGTAGGAAAGTTTTCTGAAGGAAAACTATTTTATAGATAGAACAGTTTAGGGGACAAAAGTTTATTCAGTTAAACTTGAATTAAATGCTCAGTTTAAGAGAACAAGTTTTAGCGTTGTTTTTCAGAATCATACAATAACTTTTAGTTAAGATTACAGGAAAGGATATACTGCCTGTGACCAAAATGTACAGTGCTTCAAATTTTACATTATTCTTCAAAATATTCCACACTTCAACACAAGACAATTACCAAATCAATTTGTCTTTAACCTCTCTCTCAAGATACCATGCATTTGGTTTTGGACCTACTCATAAAGTTTCAATATTATTCTAAGACTTTAACAGGCAGTCAGCACCTTTTGTTTAAGAGAACAAGACTAAGGAAACACTGCATTTTCAAAATTTACTTCAAATGGATAAATATTTTCAAGTTACACATCAAAGAAAGTTTGTTTAAGAGAAGTAAGCTCGATGTCCTAAACAGACTTAAGGGTAAAATTACTCTCAGTTTCTTTATCAGCCTCCAGAAGGAGCTTGGTTTTGTTTTCTTATCATCACTTACTTTCTTGGGAAGGGATATGTGTGTGTATACATACATATACAGGGGGAGGGCAGAAGATACACACATACTACAATATTTAAACAAACTGATACACAGATACTTTTTAAAAACAAAAATCAGGTCACCTACACAAAGCATTCAAGAGAAAATTAATACCCTTTGGTAGCTGAAGATAGAAGCAATAATGACTTTTTGTTCTGAAAATAATTTGTTCTTCACATGAAAATTCTTCCTGTGTCTCATCACATTATTCTTTCCTATCTTTTACACATACTCCATCTCTCCTCAGATGTTCAACTCTAAGTATAACTCTGCATTCAAGCAGGAATTTCAAATTTTTCCCCATAAGCAACATATGCTAAAACAAAGTATTGCCTCCTCATCAGACTTTAAAGGAAATCCTAAGTCTCTGGTCATTTCCCATTTCCATTCATAACAATTCATTACCTCCATCTCTCCATTAACACATGTACTCTTTGAAGTTTTTGCCAGAAAAAAAACTTCAGAGAATTGCTAAAAAAAAAAAAAATAATTGTAATCCTGAATGTGTTTAACACCCAGAGCTTCTCCAAATCTAATGAACAAACAGTTGTAAAACTCAAAATTTGAAGATAGCTTCTACTCTCCTTTAAGAGGTAGAACAACTGTATTTAAGTATAGGAAACAAAAACATAAAACACATGCTATATTGAATCATTACCGGAAAACTGAAGAAGCTGTGGTAAAAAAAATTATAGAGAGCTTACCATGGACAAGAGAGACACCAAATGCTAAATGATACTTGGTCCGTATTTTTTAAAAGGAATAAAAAACCAAAACCAAACCACAAACTCTACGTAAGTTTATGAAACTGGGTATGATGCAAGATATTGCCATCCTGACTGCTACCCACCACTCTGTCATGATTTATTACAGGAGAGAAATCAAATTAAGGCATGGAATTTGACAGCCTATTCCTAGCCTGAAAATCTGGAAAGAATTCCATACCAGAAATTGAATTAAGGTGGGGAGTTTTGGTGGTTTGTGGGGGTTTGTTTGTTTGTTTGTTTTGGGGGTGGGTGGGTTGTTTGTTTGTGGTTTTTTTGGTGGGGTGGGTTGTTTTGTTTTTTTGTTTGCTTGGTTTTTGCCATTTTTTTTTCTTTAAATATACCCTCCATTTCAAATACAATTTAAGGAATCAAAGGAAGATTGTAATCTTGCACATGAATGTTGCACAGAATGTTGCACATTCTGATCAGATCCTTATCTACATTTGGGAATAAAATAACAAAAAAGTGTCAGAATTTACTCAAGATAAAAGCAGGACTCACAAATCAGTTTGGAGCATATATTGCAATGTGCTTGCTGCTTACTGTAATCATTTCATAACTTTGTGACTGAAGTCAAAACAAAATTAGAGGATAATAAATCATGGCAAAATTAAGAATCCATTTTTTAATGCCATTAATAACTTTGAAATTATATTTTCACTATTTCACAATTCTATTATCAAATACCAGCTGTTGTATCAAAAATAAGAATACAGAGATCTAAATCATAATACATGGTACTTGATCAGCATGTGAGCAGAGCCACTTTTGGAAACAAAAGTTAACATTTAAAGTTTAATGAAAACGCGACACAAACTTAAACCTTACAGTTCATCTCGTTGCCTTTGTGACAGCACCATTGTGGCTACGATGTCAGATTAACGTGATTCAGCAGTGGTTGCCTCCTCAAGATCTGAAGTCTTAGGAACCCTGGATCTACAATTCAGTCTGCCACAGAGTGGCTTAAATCAGAAGTATTTTTCCAGATGTGAAATCCAGTATGAAATCCAGAGGCATTCAACACAGAAGATTCAATCCATCTAGAAGGAAGAAAAAGAGACGCCATTAATTTCCTTTAAGTAAGCATTCTGTCACCCTGGCCTGACATGAAGATTTGCACCACCACTCTGGACAGAACAAACTGACTAAAACTGTAAATGCAATTTTATTTCGCTAATCTGGATTATGGCCTTATAGCACATCTCCAACCTGGACAGAGCAGCAGCAGCCTGGAGACTTGTACATTTGCTTTATTCCCCCTCTTCTCACCATTACTCCTTCAAGAAACAGGGAGCTGAAGGAGACACCTTCAGTCGCAGCCCAGTTCTACTCTGTAGGCAGTTACATGTTTTCTTGTGATGAAAAGAACTTAGGCCCACTGTAAACAGCCTACTTTTTGCAGTCAGTACTCTTATCAAAAAGCTACCCCCCCAAAATCCTCCATCCTTATGCTAGATTTTTATTACCTTCTGTAGGTTTATCTCTACATCAAACTAAACCCAGCAAAGTTCATTCAGTTAATTTTGAACACACACTAGAGATCAGCTAATGCTCTCCTGTATCTTTGAAGCTTAGAGGGAGAGTTTAAGGAAAGAAAAGAACATTTCAGAAAGGGTCTATGGAAGATGCTAATGGCACACTTCAGGCCATAACCAATGGCACCAAGGAACACTCAGTTTGTCACTGTAGCTCATTTGTGGCATTATTACTAGGCAGTTCTCTAGGATTTACTCAAACAGCATCTTTAAAATGTACAGCTATAATTCAGCACACGAACTTCGCAGGTAGATTATTACATAATTACATTAGACAAATCACTTTTTCTCTTCCAGTAACACTATCTGAAGAAGTTCCAAAGAACCATGCTCTAAAAGACAATACTTGCATTCTTTTCAGTCATGTGTTAACACAGTTTACCTATAGTTAATCTTTTATCTCACATTTATTTGGGGTACAGCAAATTTTAAAACAGATCTTCAATCTTATCAGAGCAGCACAATTACCATGGCGCAGAGTTGCCACAAGCCCTTTAGTTAAGCTGGGTTCATCTGACAACGCAAGCTAATTCAGAATACAGTTGAAATTTTACATACTCAAGAGTATTCAAGCCAGTCAGAATTGTACCTTTCACAAATGCCTTATTCCCCCTCACTATTTAATATCATCTTATGCAGTAACATGAACTTCAGTGCACAATCTACTTCAACTGGACAGTTTTAATCTTAATTGAGGTGACATCACCAAAATAATTTTAGCAGCGTTGCCTTTTGATTTCTGCACTGCGGGTACTCTTTTGTAAGGAACATGATTATGAAAAATGCAGAGGTTAGCATTTCTTGCATACCTGACAAGAGTCTGTATATAACAGAATTTACTCAAGCTGTTCAACAAATTTGACAAACTGGCCTTTAGCAATGAGATAAACTGACTGTGACCAGTGCACAAAGACTGAGGAAATAATAGTTGGGTTTGTAAGCTTTGTACCAACTACTTCAGGAAACGAAGTGTTCCCACTGCCTCTCCTCTTTTGTTTCTCCACTAGGCATAAAGGTACGGAAGGTTCACTATAAAAGTTGGTTAACAATTTTGGTCAGGAGTCCATTTTAAACAAAAGCCTTATATGAAAAAATTAAAGAAAATACTAAACTTGTATCATTAATGTCCACTTATCCATCACAGGGGATCAGGAGCTTGTTTCTAAACCTATCTAGGCTCTGCTGTCTGCTTCAAAATAAGCTTAAGCTGCAAGTTGCTTGTATTTCACTCTGCTGGTGGATTTTCCAGGTCAAATGCTGTACACCATAATACTGCACTGCAAGCCGTTTAGGACAGGAGCACTCTAAACAGCCATGACATTATTTAATTAGTTTGAACTCTTCCCTAATAGCTATTTCAGAAACAATTCAGTTGAGAACTGATAGCACAGGCTGTATCCTTGCAGAGAATAGAAGCAAACATTTCCCTTATTCTTGTCCCATACCTTGCTTCCTGACAGGTAAAGAGGCAACTGGTTTTCAACAGATGTATCTTGTTCACTACACAGTAGGAGTATCACATACAAATGAAGGGAAATTTAGTTAATATAAAGAAAATGATCTATTGAAATGATCAGAAGAAGTGCCCTCTAGAGGGCGATGCTGCTATAAATTTAAGTACTGAAAGAGAGGCTTATAATGGCTGAATCTCTGCACTTCAGTATGAACATAGCAACGCATTCAGCAGCGATAAACATTGTGGAAAAGAACAAAACAAGGCACTTTATAAACAGAAGCACTGTTTTAAGCACTGAATAGCTGAACACAAAACTATAAACTTCTAAAATCTGCTTGCAGTACTACCATGGTAAAAATCATGGTATTAAAACCAGAAGGTGGCTTTTGTATTAAGAATTACCACTAAGCAGTGAATGCCTTGTAAATCCAGCATTGGTGCAACAACTCCAGTAAAAATCATGCTCCCAACATTTTTTGAATTTTGTTATTGCATGTAGGAGATGCAACTATAGCACTTGCTTAAAAATAACAGCAACTGTGTTTATAAGGCAATCCTTAAACATGTCAACTAGTTACAATGACTTTTTTCCCCCTCAAATGTAAAGTAACTCCAAACTTCTCCCATTTCCGCAAGACTTCGCAACACCTGGCCTGCTCCATCACTGTAGCTCTGAACTGTTAATCAGAAACAGATCTTAGTACTAGATAAATTTCAACAGCTAGAGGGCAAAGCAGCTCTTTCTGCTATTAGCAAATTACAGCTGATCCACAGTAAGTTAGCAATCAGCTGATCTACAGTATCTCGCTTCTCTAAAAAGTGTCTGTTCCAAGCATCCTTCTCAGTATTCATGGCTTTTTAACTGCAAAGACACCTGAATATGAGGCAAAGTATTTTTAGGGCAGCTTCCTTCATATACACCTTTTAACAAAATACAAAACAAGACAAAATGAACAAAAACAAACAAACAGGAAACAAAAATGAAAACCCATGAAGAGAGAAAACACCCCCACCCAAGCAAAAATGTCCAAACCCAAAAAGCCAAAAGGACCCAACTTTAGTTATTCACCTGTGACACTTTTAGAAATAAAAGAGAACGGATGAATATTGTCCATGCGTATCGCCTTTTCTTCAGCTAGAGAAGGCTTTCTGATGTACAAAACTCAGTGGAGCAAGACTAACCAGTCCTCCTCCATTGCCTGTCAAGTCACCACCACTGCATTACACACACCCGCAAACCACCTCAGTAATGACAGAGAGCAAGTGTTCAGAGAACCCTTGGGAAAAAAAAAAACAACACCTGTTCATTACACCTTGCCTGAAACTGGTCATTTTTGTATCAGCAGCTTACTGTGAATAAGGTGGTGTCAAGACAGCTAGATCTTTTTTTGAAAGAAAAGATGTCTATATGAAAGTTTAATTTGTTCTGTGTAAAGTACAGAAAAGAAACTGAATCTAAATAGAGACATCCATGGAGTAACAGGTATAAATACAACATAAACCAAGATGTGCCTTTTATTAATAGCCCCGCTTACACTGCAGAAGTTTTAATTTCTAACTGAAGACCGATTTGATTCCATGTCAATGGTCTGCATATATAAAAGCACTGAGTGGCAAACCTCTGCATATGTACAATCTTGCAACGAAAGTGGGCTACAAGTGTTCTCAGCAAGATCAGTTGTCCTTATGAGCATTTTAAAATTGGGAGCTAGATCTGGCTGAACACATAACACTGCAACAGGTACGACACATCAAATGTTTGCCTCTTACTCCTGGCAGTACAGGATCTGCTCAGGTTTCTAGAACGTACAGGTGCCTGGTGGGAGAAGAAACAGACATCATCTACTGCAGTTTAGGTAGGCTGCTTCTTTATGAAGCAACACAAACCATTGGAAAACCATAGGCAACATCCTCCTCAGCTCTATTAACAGCATAGCCTCAACAGACAACTCCATCTCAATTCAACTGCTAGCTTCTGCACTTAGCTAAAAATCAGCTTTTATACTTAGGACTGGCAGAAATGTCTGCACAATAAGGATAAGAGATCTAATTCAATCCTTAAGTGTTGTAGGACTGGAGTATCACACTAAAGTGTAATCTTTTATAAATAAATAAATAAATAGACAGCCAAGAATAATCACAGGCCAGAATTTTTTCCCTAAAAAAGTTTCTAAAACATACAGAACTATTGGAAACAGCACAGTTTAGGTTCTTCTGACTTTCTCACTAAAAAAAAAAAGCGGAAGACACTCTGTCTCCCTGTCCAAGAATTGCTTCTCATCTTCCTAAACTGGGATTCAGAGATTCCTTAGCTTCACCACATACAGCCTTTTGCTGGAGCCAGCTGCACTCACCACAAGACTCACCCACACTGCACTGAGGACACGTTTACTCCTACTGAAATTGCTTTGAGGCTCGGAGATTCTCCCTGACATGCATTTAAAGATGGTCCCACCCTGATGGTGACTAAATACATACCTTTTGCAACTGGTTAGTGTCAAGGCACCCAGATGAATCTAACTTCACACTTGAAGCTGACATCAGAGATCTGATATTGCATAGGAACCACCCTCTTCCTGAGGGTGACTAAGGCATCCTAACAATTCAAAAAGTCAGTTTTTTCTTACCAACTTTAAACAGTAGGTCCTTATACCGATCTCTATCAGTGTGGTTCAAGTGTTTCCTAGATTACTGGAAAACTTTGTGATAACATGAGACCTGCTAACCATTCATAAGATGCACAAACAGCAAAATGAAACAGGTTCAACTATATTTGTTAGCTCCTTGAGACAGCTCTATAGAGGTATTCAAAGTACAATAGCAAAACTGATACAGTCAAAGCAATAAGGTAGGGAGGAAAAAAGAAAAAAAAAAAAATCACTTCCAAGCAAGACATTCAGAATTTCCCTCAGTTCGTGATACATCATGCCATTAAATGATAAGCCTTAGCTCATAAGTATTTCTATGATGGTGTTCATACTTGCTTCAGGAGACATTTAAATATTATTTTCCATAAACATTCTCCAAATATAACTAAGAAACAGATTACGGAATCAAATTAACCCTTCTACTTTTTAGTCTCATACCTGCTTATTTACCTAAACTAGCATCAAGCATGAGCAAAGTTACTGGAATTAAAATTCCTAAAGCTGCCCATTCCGTACACATAAAAAAAAAAATATATATATAAAAAAGATTTAGTTTGTAAATTCCTTCAGAGTTCATTACGTTCTTGCTTATCAGAGTACACTGGATGCTAAACAATACTAAAATTTGGTTTGAATACATAGGTCTGGTAAACACACTATGCCCTGAATCTGACATTTAGCTTTTATCTATTTCAAGCTGATCATCTACTTCATAAACCTACAACGAAACTAAACAGAAGTTTTCAAACATGCTCGAAGGCAAAAGTTTTTAAAATCAAAACCAGCCTGCTTTCTTAGTTTTAATTACTAAAATAGTGTTTCTGGACTTAAATCCTTGACTTATTCATCACTGCTGTTAATTACTGCATAGACACCCATAGATACCACAGCTCATCCAAGTATTTTAGAGCAAGATGAAAGTTTGTTATTTTTTCTATTTCAGCTAAGCCTTTGTTTTACTATTGTTATGACTTCGTTCAGCAATTGTAATAACTCATTGCTACAGCTTTAATCAGAAGGTTTTATCTGTATGTGGCAGGGTATCATTCAATTCTTTCGAAGTAACACATATATTGTACCATGACAAAATTGAAGCCATAAATATGGAGGTCAAATAAACCATTAGCTACTAGTTGTTAACTCATGATATAAATTATAACTTCAGTAAGATGCTACATTGGTCCCTGCAAGGTGTTAGTTCAGTCAGGATTTTAGCATCCCAGAAAGACTGAGGGCTTTCATCCTTTAAATTGCCTTATGGGAATCACACCACGGGAAGGAACTGCACTCGGTGCTTACCAGCTGCCAACTCACAAGAACCAAGCTTATTAACTTCTCCACTAATGGCTGGAGACATACGTCCATTCCAGACGTACACTTGCTTTCCTAGACTCAGTTGAGCATGCCTCTGGACACAATCTAACATGCAGGCCTTCAGATCAGTGCTCTCCTTTCACTCTGATTACGCTACCCAGCAAAACCGTCTGTATCAGTGCCTTGTTGACTAGCAGTGCTCTGCTACCATAGCAATAACGTTTAAGAAAATCTACACAAACATCAAGTAGTGTCATACAGACAGAGAGCAGAAAGCTATTCCAAGTTCATCATGAACCAGTATTCTTTGCAGACGTTCGTAGGTTCTAACCAGATTTTTAAAGTCACCTCAATAAAGCTGCAAAGAGTAATGTAGAGAAAGCTGTACTACACTATAAGGCCTTCACAAGCTCCAGAAGTTCAGTTTTACAGGCTTCTCTCATGGCCCAAGTTACTCTGATTACTTAAGCCAGGACTCCTATCAACAAGAAAATCCTCATCGGCAGCACGATGAAAGCTGGTCTCACCCGCTGGAACTCAAGGCTCAAAATCTTTATCATTTTGGTAATTTAAGTCCTCAAGCCCACTAAACATTTGCTTACTAGCTACTGCAAAAAACAGTCAATCAGTCTTAATGCATTCTTAAGCACTTTTCCTATTTTCCGTAATTCCCACAGGCACATTCATCCCTCCTGTATTTTATGTTTTCTCTCCTAACTTCTGAATTTTTAGGAGTTAAACCAAGAAAATCAGTTTCAACATCATTCTTTGGTTCACAGCAGCAGCAGCAACAAATAAATAGATCCGCACAATCTCAAGTTCACCCTGCTGCTGTCGAGCAACCTAACAACCACTGCTAACCAATCTGTTATTGCAGATCTTGGAATACATGTTCATAGCTCCTCCAGGAACTTACAAATAAATTAATTAAATTTCTGCAGTTTTAATGACCGTTGCTTAGGTTTTATAAACAGTCTTCCCCACAAAAACACAAGCTAGATACAGTAAACACGTAACTGTAGCTCATTATATATGAAATTGGAAGAGATAGGTGGCATAAATTACAGAGCAAATGTATCAG